AAAACTTTTCGTAAATATCACATATTTCTTTCAACCAATTTCGCAGAAAATTAATTTTTCAAACCGAAATCAATTTCGCGATACACCGTTTTTCTCACAACAGATAGCCACCAATCCTTCCACGATGAACAGCATTTGATCGCCAAGACAGAGCCCTTCCCCTCCTCACAAGAACTGCGGGTGTTGCGCAATGTCCTCAGCTTCTCCACTAGGGTTTTCCAAGGCATGCATTCCTATTGCACTAGCCAACGTAAACCAGTGCATGATCCTACATAACGTTATGATAACTTCCCTGCAGAGAATAATCTTCATTACTTGTATATAAACTCCTTAGATCGAACTCGCAACTCTTCGTAGTCACCATCTACACTTCTCAAAGTGGCATTCGAAAACGAAACCAACTACCAATACATATGCTACCACAATCGTACTATTCATACGATCCTATCCATTGGACTTTCACCCGTGCTATGCAAAAATACTAATGAAAAGCGTATTTCACGTTTCCCTCCGTGAAAACGCATAAGCATTGAACAACACCGATACGGGCTGATTTGTCCGGTGTAGTTCGTCAAGTATTTTCAATCGTGTTTTTCAAATTTTTTATGTACGCCACTTCACGTAAAACGGGTGAAACTCCGCTTAAACCACTACTAAATGGATATAAACCTTCTAATATTGGAGTTTCACCCGTTATACGAAAAAGCAAAACACTAGTGAAAAACATATTTCATAATTCACTTCGTGGAAAACAATTGTGTTATCGATCGCGAAGACATACACGTCTCACCGTAAAATGAGTGCAACTCCATTGTAATGAGCAGTATGTCAATGAAAAATTATATTTTCCGAATTCAATATAGTATTACACTAGAGTTTACCCGCTATTCGCCAAGCGGAAAAGAAAAATAAGTTTTTCCACTAGTCATAGTATCACGAGTGAAACTCCACTATTTAACATATTCCCATTATTATACTATCGATATTTATAATATATGATGCTTATAGACCAACATATAAAAATATACTCATACCTATTCTCCATCGTACCCCCCTACATCGATCGTAGTGTATCTTTCCACTTCATACACCACCAATGAAAACTAATACCAATACAATGCAAATGCAATGGAAATCAATCTAACTTCCATGAGCTGAGTGAATTTTCCAAGCGACTTTCCGGCGATGAAAATTCTAAATATGATGCATTAATACGTTCTCACTGATATCTATGGGGAGCTCTCCCGAGGACATCACCCAATACTACCAAGGAAAACGCATCGCTCCATTTCCCCGTCATTTGCCTCAAGCTGGTGAGCCCCTCCCAGTATCTCTGCAACGCCATATTAGTCCGGAACACGACCATGTACCCCAAAATAGTACCGTAAATCTGTCAACATATCTCACAATACAACAGGTATCCCTATGAGCCCTACCTGTAAAGCAAAAGGCTTCTCCAAAATCAAGTGTTCATTAAGAAAATCAATATAGACGAATAATGCTGCGATTACACAGGCAATAACACAATATATTACAATCTGATCAAACCAGAGGACGGCTGCATACACAACCAACCGTGCGATAAAATTCTCCCAAAACTCCATCAATGTGATACACCAAAATACCAAGCATTTATCTAGGATCTCAATTACGAGAACTCTCCAAAACTCTTTAAAACGAACATTGGAGATTATCATGGAAGCACTTTATTGCTAGCTCAGAAACTGTCGATCATCTTGATAACAAAGGCGAGGGCTCAAGGCCAAAAGTGTTATCCCGGTTCGGAAACAAATACGAAACCGATTTTCCTCGTCTGCGAAACACTACCCACTCGAGTACGACAGACACCGACAATACATAATTTCACCGTGTTAACTTTCACGACACACGCAAACACCAAATGACAGTGTCAAATCATAGTATATTTTTCGTAAAAAAATTTTTTTCCGAAATTTTCCCCTCCTCAGCTGAGCTGGATAGTTTCTCACTACTATATAGAGTCTTGCATACGACTGTTATTAGGAATACACACAAAACCAACAACAATAATCATCCTTCTTCATTATCATCAACGTGCACAGGTGACCATGTACATATCCCCCCACACTGCCGAGACACCCTACTACTACTACCCCTGAGTAAGGCGATCCGGTCCACCTGAGTATCAGCCGTATCGGACTCTCGCTGTTGTCGTATTCAATCATCTGTCACTCCTAATAAAACGCCACCAACATTACTCACTTAACAACGCAACTACATATTGAGATTCACTTCGCGATCTATACAAAGAGAACTCCCTTACGGTAGAGAGAAATCACAGATAGTAAATCAGACCAAGCACAGAGACAACAAAGGGCAGTAGTAGTTCGACGATGACCTGCACTAGGTCATCCCATCACTGATTCCTACTGCTGCCCATCATCATAATAGTAACAACAAGCTCAGAATTAAAGACATACACAGCAGGAGGTGACGAACACACCGTCGAGGCCAGCAGCAACCTATATTATCAATTTTATCGCCATTCCATAGCTACGTTCAACGGCTACTAAACATCATTACTCACTGCCTCTTACCAACCGACACATCACTTCGTGTAAGCGGCAACCTCTCCCGATTCGAGGGGATACCAGGCGCGGGCTTTCGCTCAGCTGGGGATACCATAAGGGGCGCATTCAGGGGGGCCAACAGTGCTGACGGCTACAAAGAAAATAATTAACTCTATTCATACCACACCTCGACAAACTTACTGGCTCCTTCTCGTGGAGACCGAAAGGCAATCTAACGACTTCATCGTATAACAACTCTCCATAGATGAGCATCACAAAACCGATCAGCTGTAGCAACGACCACGCAGTTAGAGGCTCTCCAAGACCTTTACCCGGTGCTACATAGAACCTGCAGGAAACAGTCGAACCATCTCATAGGAGTATCGACTTACATTAGCACAGAAACAATCCAGATAAGGATAGTTCTGGTGGCGTCCAAGAAGGTGTGATGCACCGCAGAAGCTGTAGCAGTTACCATAACTCCACATAAATTGAATACAAATACGGAGACAACGAAAGACACAGTAAGCCACATAATGGCCGAGTCATTAGCAAGCATCACAAAGGAGTCTCTAGTACTCTCAATAACACCACCAACATCACCACCACGTAGAGAGCCGACTACAGGGAGAGCAACAGCTACCATAAGGATGGTTCCCCAGAAACCCTCGAGGCCAACCAAAGCGACAGGGGAAACGTCGTGAGGCGGCTTAAGAAGGAACTCCTCGATGACGTATTGCGAGGCGCATACAATTTGACCACCAACGATGAAACAAATACCGAGAAGTAGTTTGCCGAGACTAACTACTTGAGTTTGGTTCTCTCGAGAGGCAACACTAGACATACCCACGAAAATCAGGGCGATAACACAGATGATCACACCGGCCCAGTTGTGACGGTACATCTTTCTGTGGAGGAAAAGGACCGATAGAGCTGCTGAGAAGATGAGGATGCTGCCCTTCAGCATTTGGAAGACCGACACGGGGGTGTAGACGAGACCGATCGCCTGGAAGGAGGACCCCAAGAGGTCGAAAAGGGATGGTATGGCAACAACAAAAAATATATGTTTGTTGACTTTATCCACTTTAATGCTCTTCGTCCACAGTAGGAAGTAGTAGACAGGCAATGCCAACAGCATAGCAACGAACATGACCAGACTCATAAACCAGGGCTTCTCGAAAAGGTGATAAATACCATCAACGCCGAAGGCACCAGTTTGGAACTGTAATTTCTCAACGATAGAGTTGGCTGAGCCGGCCAACAGACCAATAGTAAAGACGATCGCGAAGGTGCTCCACATTTTCAGTGATCAATGGGAGCTCTCAAATTAAAATAGGTCGACAACAACAACTGACAAGGACACCTCTCCAATACGCTAGCTTTGAAATATTTTTTATCGAAACACAATTATACACGTTCGACAGGGTAGATCGTACGAGTGGCAAGTGGAAAGTTCATCAGCAGCAGCCTTAACCAGTCAAATGAACAGAGCTCACACAGAGAGACGGGTGGAACAATAGAGCTTGATGAGATTATCATCTTCCCTAGCCGCGCAGCTCTACGCTGAAATAGAAAGTCACTTGCTCTCTTAGCAAATCTTGCATTTCCTCAACGAGCAGATGAACTTTGAAAAGATCGAATTTCACACGTTGTCGTACTACCACCGCGAACAACTACAGATACCAATGTGCAAACCCATAGGCCTGACTACTCAACTTTCACTTGCCTACTAGCGACTGTCAACATCATGCCCGCCATTGCGGATTACGTTCAGAACTACTCGTGATGCGTCACCCCACGATACGCCCGTATCGATGATAATAGATATTCACTGAGTTTAGATAGATTACAACGCTCTAATATAATAGGTTATAACTCTGCGTTGGCGACTTTGTCGAGCACAGGGCGTATATTTAACTAGTCGGGTTGAGCCAGGGCTAACAGTACGGCTACTGACCGGCGTTGGTCAGTGACCGATTGCCACCGGTGGGATTAGAGGGCAAGACAGAAGAGGCAATCATTTCCTCAAAGTCGCACTCACTCTGCCGAAGAACTTCGAATGTATCTGATACAAAGAAGTGGTCTCATGGAAGATGCACAGCGTCGTGATTCAGGACACTGCTTTCGAGTTGTCTCGCGATCTGCTACTACGAGTGATATTCTATCAACTTGAGAGGCCATAGAAGCTTTCTTAGAAGATGTCGATAAGGATAGAGTATTTATCCCCATCACTAAGATGCGGAGCTTTGCATTACCACGTAAGTTCAGAAGGGAAGGTACATATATATTAGCGGTAATGTATAATCGTAACCTAGTCAGGTGATTGTTATCCGATACCTTCCTTGCTCCTCATCCAAATGCATTCCTTGATGAGGATTTAGCACGCAAGTGGCGACAACCCTGAGCAGCTATAGCGTTTACTTGGCCGGCAGTGGTGTGGGAATTCTCGCCATTAGCATTAAATATAGGGTGAAGGCGCTCAAGACTTGAGTGATGAAATGAATGTATGTTTTTGGACAACAGACATTTAACAATAGTATGGTAGAGTGTTCAGGGTAAACCAGCGAGCGAGTAAAGTTGATCTAACTATATCGGTGATGCCCACTTTTAACCACCGAGTAGATCATGAACAGCTGTCTGCAGGTACTACCAGTTAGGAAGCCTACTCTAGAGGAAGCCGACCTACGCGTACCTTCCTTCCTTCCTCGACCACCTAGAGCTAATCCCGGAGGTCCTATCCCTTTACCAGGGATGTATTATCGTATTGTCTATGGCGCTCGTAGATGTGCATATTGTGAACTCTCATGTAGGAGTCTCATCCATCGTATTGATGAGTGCCCTAAGCTGGAGCAGGCCCAACGCCAAACGGGCCTGCCGAGTGACGAGGCTATCAACGCTCAGTATTGGTGATAACGATAAAGTTACATGGTTACTCGCTACCATTTCGGATTTGTCTTTCTTGCGTTTCCCAAGTTTGTATCTCCTCGAAGTTTGCTATGACTAACACTGCAAGTCCCATCGAAGAACCTGTCCGTGAGGAGACGGTGGAGGATAAAGAATTCCAGCGGGCGTTGGAACTGGTTGAAAAGAGACTCAAAGACATGTAGGGATCTTCAAGCGTGGTGTTGCGATTTATACACGTTACACATACAGGGAAGCCGATTACGAGGAAACTCTAGCAGCTGAGAGACCCAAGGAAGAGGTGAAGGGGACTTCTATCGAGGAATTCGGGTGGATATCATATTGCGGCCACCCCGGTGCAGGAACATAGTGTAGGTATGGACCTCTCCGTAGTGATAGCGACGAGAGCAGTGACGATGAAGAGGAGGAATTCGGAGCCTTCATCTCTGGAGAAGTTCGAGAGGAAGGCATCAAGGGGTCACCAAGTGTTATCCATCCGAAGCAGTGAGGTTCCGTATGCTCTGAGTTTTTGTGATGATGATATTTAGGATGTCACCACAAGACCGACAGCGGATTCGCGAGGCGATGGCGTCGATTCCCAAACCCGATGAGCCAGAATGGGCTCGAGGGCTTACCGATGACGAGTTTCTTAAGGCCGCCCTCAGTCGCTCCCGAATACATTAGTTCCTGTGATGAACATCTCGCATTACCTATACTGTTTTGTTTTATGAGAGTTCAGATGGCTTGTTGGGAAACCAACTCAAACACGGAGCTCACGGTACTATCAGAAATCGACAGAAACATCGTCGTACGCAGTTCGCAGGAGCTGATGTATGATAAGACGTAAATCGAGAGAATAGGGATCGACTTCCCGAGACCGCACAGAGGCCCTCGTCAACTTGATAGAACCTGCTAAACACTCAGGTATCGTCCTCATATTCTTGTCTAATTTCGGCCAAACTTTGAACTTGCCAATGAATTGACCTCGTCATCAATTGGATACCCCAGTTGGGGCGATCACCATTTTATATACCACCACTTCAACTGTATTATAGGCGATTCGCCATATTTCCGAGGCATCTCAGTCAAGACAAAAGCCCATTTGAAATGTCGCTAAGATACCCAACAACATGCACGACACTATACCGTCTTCCTATGTATCCCCCAGCTGGGCCGTACTGATACCATGAATATATGCTATCAAGCCCGGACCGGCTGGAATTCCAAAAATCCAGTATGATGGATGGATATAAGCATGAACCCGATATTAAGTCAATTCAAGCGGAGACCGCACTAACTGTTCCCCCAACACAACAGTGCATGAGGTCAATAATAATACTATTAGGAATTGTACGTAACTACCTCGCTTAAGCTACCCGAACATATCGACTTCTTCTTCCTCATCAGCATTTTTTGAAGGATCGTTGAGGACTGTCGAACTCTTGACGAAGGACATCCGGAAAGGATTGCTCGCAGTAACACTGGGCTTGCTAGCCCCCGATGCGACTTCCATCATCCTCTTCTCTACAGAGACCGAGTGCCGGCCTGAGGACCCGAGTAGCCCAAACCAGGACGTGCCGCCTCG